AACCGAGAAGGGGAAGGAACCGTGGAGGGGAGAGAAGGGGAGGTATTTTGAAGGGACCTCAATGCAATTATAAAATGTTGGTGGGGGGGGGGGGTATTGTATGTGGATGTTATTACATTAATAAAAATAAACTGGTCTCCCCCCCTTTGTCATGTCGAAGGAGTAGGGTGTTCCTTTGACATGACAAAGGGGGGAGACCAGTTTATTTTTAAAAAAAGTTCTGCTATTCATCGATAGATGGCAAAACTAAAAAGTATCACCGCTGTGCCGGTCGGAGTGGGAGGTGTTAGGTTATTTTCTGAGTGCTGTGGGTCCGATCCACAGCACTCAGCGTAAGCGGCGTGACGACCGCTTAAACCACTACGCTATCCGTGCAGTCGGTGCTTAACCTAAATGTCCCGCCTTATCTGCTTCGCATTGTTCTTCCTTTGTCTTCTCCGAAAACAATTGCATCTCCAAGGAGAACCAATCCAAACCCTTATCCGCTTGCCGTGGCGAGGTGACCGCTTTAGCCAAATAGCAAATCATGACAAAGTGTAGTGTGACTACAGTTGTATTATAAACCTGAAATAAAAAAGTAATAAAAAGTTTTCGAGTTTCTTTTAATTTTTACTGATAGTCAGTGTTCTTGAGATATACTTGAGACAACTCACATAGGGTCGTCTGACCCCAAATGAGACAGAGTGTGAATATGGTAAACATATGTTTGTCATCATTCTATATATTAATATATTACTAAATACATTCATATTAATATTGACTAATTTCTTAAACACAGACACAAAACAATGGATGTGCTCATCTCACAATTATGGTTCTGAGTGAGAATCACTCTTACGACTTCTGGTTTAGCAGAAGGGATCATTAATTAGTACAAAAACGTACATTGCCGAAAACCTAGATTTCCCTACATTGCCCTGTTCACAAACTTCAACGGTAGGGCTAGGAACTGCGCAGCCTGATCACCTTACCTGATTGGAAGATTCTACCTTTTGTGTTAATTTAACTTAACACCCATTCCTTCACGTGTATTTTAAATTTACCAATCTTAAACTTAACAAAATAACAGTATACAGGTTCAGGTCAAACTATGGAATAACTAAAAGATTACAGTATAATGAAAAGCTCAAGTCACTATAATCAAAAGTACATTACATTTCATCAACATCATCAACAGCCTTAGACAGTCCACCGCTGGACATAGGCCAATCCTTAAAAGAAGGTCTACTATACCACGCTGGCTAGACGGATTGGTACAGGGTTTGTTTCAAGTTTTCCTTCTCTTTGCAGTGCCAGTCTGCGTAGTTTGGGCATTTAGTCGGCTCTTAAGACACTCACGGGATGAATAGGTTATCCCTATTCATCCCGTGGGTGTCTTAAGACACTCCATATTCTTAATATGTCACCACACGGACATTACACAACACATTTTTCCAATTAATAATATCGTCCCATTCACACACTTTGGTAATTGAAGATAGGAAAATTGGAAGGCTGTTAAAAGGCGATAGTTCAGAATATTGTTCATATGGATTGATATAGTAATATAAGCAACAGTTTCTTTTGTCTTTATTTTATAGTGTAGTAGGTAAATAAGCAGAGGAGGTTACCTGATGGTAAGTAAGAATGTAATGAAATCACAATCACATGTGATAAATCATATGATATAAAAATCATTTCATCACACCTGTGACTGATAACCAAAACCACTGCTATTGCGCAAGACTCGCGAAAGGTCTAAATCTAAAAAAAGGCCATTAATCTTTAATAAAAAGAATTTAGATTGATTTTAATGTCACTTTTTTTGTCCATGACGATATCACAATCACAAGTAAGTCGTGTGGGCCCGATGGAGTCTCTCTTACCGTGTTGAAGACGTGTGCTCCGGAGTCGGCACCGGATTTAACGCGCCTTTTTCGTCTCTCCTACTCCTAAGGCGTCGTCCCGAACTTCTGGAAGGCAACGTTTGTGCATCCGATTTCTAAAAAAGGTGACCGCTCTAACCCGTCCAACTACAGGTCTGTAGATATAACTCCTTTGTTCTCTAAGATTATGGAATCCATAATCAACTGCCAGCTCCTCCGGTACTTAGATGATCACCAGCTACTCAATGGCCGACAGTATGGTTTTCGCCGGGGTCGCTCAGCTGGTGATCTTCTCGTCTTGCTAACACAGCGATGGGCCACAGGCGATCGAGACCAAAGGACCTCTCCTTAGTGCGATTGGTTTGGACATAGCAAAGGCCTTCGATGGGGTCTGGCATAAGGCACTTCTCTCGAAACTGCCTTCCTTTGGGCTTCCTGAGAAATTGTGTAATTGGATCTACAGTTTCATTGCGGATAGAAGCATTAAGGTCGTTGTCGACGGTGCATGCTCCGACTCGAAATTCGTAAATGCTGGTGTTCCACAAGGCTGTGTGCTATCACTAACTATATAATACTGTTTCTTCTGCATATCAATGACATGTTGCAAACTAGCTAGCAAACTAGACCATTGCTATGCAGACAATAGCTCTTCTCGGGAAAACGTCATCGAGAGTCGAAACCAACTTGTGCATGAAACTGAAACTTCCTTAGCGGAGGTTTCAGATTGGGACCGACTAAATCTAGTTCTGTTTAACCCAAAAAAGACAGGTCTGTGCGTTCACCGCAAAGAAGAAACCATTTGTCGTATCACCTCGGTTTGAAAGCACATGCCTCAGCCAGCATCGGAATCCTAAGCATCGACATATCCATCGAAGTCCAGTTTCTCGGTCACTTAGAGGGTAAGGTCAAATTGGCCTCGAAGAAGCTCGGTGTGCTGAACTGATCGAGGCAGTATTTCACTCCGGCCCACCGCCTTCAGCTCTATAAGGCGCAAGTCCGGCCGCATATGTAATACTGTTCTCATCTCTATGCAGTGGCAGGTGCTGGTACTGATGTCAGTACCAGCTTCTTCCTTTTGGACCGTATCCAACGAAGAGCGACTCAAATCGTCGATAGCCCAAACATCTCCGATCGGCTGCATCCCTTGGCGTTGCGTAGAGATGTGGCTTCACTCTGCAATCTCTATCGCATATATTATGGAGAGGGCTCCGAGGAATTGTTCGGACTAATACCAGCCGCAACTTTCCGCCATCGTTCAACACGGCAAAATTTTCACCCTCATTACCTGGATAGTTGGCGCTTCACTACTGCGCTCTTTTCGAGTCACTTTTTGCCCCGCACTACCAATCTGTGGAACGGATTATCGTCTGCGGTATTTCCGGACCGATACGATATTCAAATCTTCAAAAAAAGAGCGTACTCCTCCAAAAGGCCGGCAATGCGTTTGTGACTCCTGAGTTGCAGACGTTCATGGGTGGCGACGGTTACTTTTCATCAGGTGACCTGTCTGATCGTATGCCCTTTCTGACATTAAAAAAAATATATGTAAAATCGCTTTAAATAATTCGACAAGAAAATAACTACATGCTGTGCATAAATTAAAATACACTAGAATTAAATAGCTTTAATTAACTTTTATTGTTTTGGCGTAATATTGTAGAATAAAGCATAACATAATATTCAAAATTAACAGCTCTAAATTCTTCCTTTTTCTTTTTGCTATTATACATACCTTTTAGCCGATACTTACTATAAACTTATTTCAGTATAAACGTCTATAAACATATTTAGTTTAAACTTTTTACTATAAACGTCTATGAACGCCATTAGTTAATTTGCAAACAAAAGGCAATTCATTTTAAACGATGAAAGTTGAACGCGGATCCAAGTACAAGGATTACATGTATGTTACAAACTGCGGGGAACACACTGGGTCGTCCCAGTTTGCAACACGCATACAGCCTGAGGACAATGATGTCCTCAGGCTATACACAATGGCACAATGTATAGACTAAATCCTTTATTGCGGACTCAATAGTTAATCATGAAGTTCGGTTTGTTTATCTCTAAAATAAATCAAGCAGCAAAAATGAACTTAAATCCATATGGAATAACACAAACTATTGTAGATGTTTATTATATTCGAAGTGTTTGTAATTAGTCAAAACAGAGATTATTCAGACTTTCTAGAGTACACCTAGTTCCCCGGCTACTGGTACTCGAGTAGGCGAGCGGTTTTTGGTCGGTTCGAGTCCAACATACCTAAATGCGGAGACATTTCCGGACGGAAAAAAAGATTTAACATCACTAAACTGCTACTATTATTTGGATAACTGTGTATGAAATGCAGTTTCCATAGCTTTATTTTTTAGGTCATTTATGAATATAAACACAGTGTAAAAAGCCGCAAGTCTTTTTATTCAGACACAAGTACTAGAAGCATAAAAGCAAATAATCAAAGTAACGAACAACAATGCAACCATACATACTATAACATTCAAAAAATTCAAAATTCTTTTATTGTAGTTATAAGCCTAAACAATCGACACATAGGGAGTACTACACTAGATTACATGCATGTCTAGACCTAAGTGTATTCACTAGATTTGCTTCCATTTTATACATTTTAGGCTATTTTTAGCAGTATATCCGTACCTTCTGAACTAGTTGAGACTGTGACTATCCATATTAATATTATAAATGCGAAAGTGTGTCTGTCTCTCTGTCTGTTAACGCTTCACGCTTAAACCACTTAAATTTAAATCAAATATTTTTATAGCGTAGCAAACATTTATTCAATGAATTATTTCTATAATTTTGTGACGAATGCTACCCAATAAAGCTTCAAAAACAAATGCATTTGAATCAAGGGTTGCTACCTTTCAAAGTTTTGAATGACGGAAGTAACATGTAATATTCAATGAATTACATGTAGTTCACTTTGAATTATACAATAAGAATCCGTTAATTAACTTACAAATATGTACTGATGTACGCCACTTTTAATAGTCACTACTGATCATTGCCAAATCGGTGGTTATGCCTTAAAGGCGTAACTGGCCAGTATTTTTATTAAAATTTAAATTAAGTAATTGTGTAATTTTTATTTGAAGAAAAAATAATAAATCAACAAATATGGGGGAGATTGTAAACAAAATCGTGGGTACATATACGTACGTGATGGATGAATTGAGTGGTAAGTTTTATTATACATTTATATGCTCATAAATAAAAGACTAACAGAGCAAAAGTAGATTAATACCTTCGAAGTTTACACCGGTTTTCCGTACAAGTGGACGCCATTCTCGATTACACCAGCAAGGCAAGGCAACAAAATTACTATTTATAAAAATAAATCAAACCAATCTGGACAGATGACATGCAGCAGTAGTAACATTGAAATACTGGAGACATTTTAAAGCAAAACCTTAAGAACAACCGTTGTCGACCTTAACGTAAATAGTTCAATCCAGTCAAAAATATCAACACAACTTGTAACAACATGTTAACGAGTTTGCCCTTGCATTGTTCAAATAATAATGACAATAACATTGATCTAAAGAAGCAGTTACAGTTAAAAGAAAAAAAACAGGCTATTTAATATATTTCTATAAATTTAAACGCTAGGGATTTACAGAAGGTCTATTATTTAGTTCCTTTTTTTATGAAGCTCAGTGTACGTTACGTCTAACACTAGTGTTCTTTTTAATTTGTGTGTAGTGAAGTCTGGGTTTCAATAGAATAAAATGTTATAAACTGACAATGAATACATGTTAAACCTAATAAAGCAAAATACCTATTGGCCTAGATCAGGGATTCCCAAACTTATTTTGTCTACTGCCCACTTTTAGATTAAATTATTTTTAGCGCCCCAATTTTTTCACCTGCTTATAAACCACTATAATTTCTTATTAAATTAATTAATTATTCTGAGCTATATTAGCGGAGATTAAAAATTCATTCTAAACGAGACTTTTACTATAACCTGCAAGAGTTAACTTGAGACCTGAACGCAGTAGGTAGTACACAACGGCGCTCAGGTCTCAAGTTAACTCTTACGGACTACACCTGCCAATGAGAATGATTATTGAAAGGCAACTTTATTGTATTCAGACAGAGTATCTTTTATTCAAAATAAAACAAACAAAATCGATTCTGTTAAAGAAACTAATGTAAAGGATGAATCTGATGCTGTTTAATAAGTTTGTTGAAATCAGGTTCCAATTTACTTAAGAACAGCCGCAAGTAGCCACGTTCGGTAACATGCAAACGATTTCTCTTTTTAGTAAGCAGCGTTGAAACAGCATGCACACAAAATCTTTAAAAATTGTTTGGAATTCCTCTTTAGTAATAAAAATCATAGAAATATTGTCACCTCAACAATAGCTTGCTCTGTCAAAAGTAAAATAATTACTATAACACATTATTACTAGTATTATAAATCTATTAATCTAAGCGCACTAATCACCGGAACCGACTGTCGGATTCAAAATGTATGTTTATATTATTTTAATAGAATATCGAAAATCATCAAGAAAGATCTTCTTACTATCGTTAGGAAAAGAGCAACAACAATAAATGTGATTGATAATAATATTTAATTGGTATCGATACCTATAGGAAAAAATCAGATAAATCGATTAGAATCTAATCTATAACCGCCTTTCTCCAAATGCGATTTAGCTTTTTGAATATGAGCTCTTATAATTCATCATATAGTTTTAGAATGTTTTGTGATTACATAATTGTCTTGTTGAGCGTAATACGTGAATGCGATTCAAAATTCATAAATCACTCAAATTAAAGTACAAATGTATGTAAACAAGTATTCATAAAAATGCCACATTCCAAAATTATTTGTTTCTTTTAAGTTAGTTACAATTGCTAAATAAAGCGAGCAAATACTTGTTTTCGTTCCTAGGTGATTGTATTAGTACATTCTTCTTCAAGAATAGAACAATGAATTGACTTCACTTAGATTAATTCCTAAAACTATCCATTAACTTCCATAAAATCCTGGTAGTTAATAAATCTCCCTAAATAGTCCATAAAGCGTGAGTTTGCAACTGTTGCACCTAAAAGTGCCAAAAGACTAACTCCATAGTACTAATTTACCAGGACCAGTAAATTCACAGACGTTATTATTAATTAAAGAGTTTCCAAAAGTCTTCAACTATTATTAGCTGCTGAAAAAAAAATGATTTGCACTTTGATAGTTTAAATGTATTTAAATTACTTCGAAGTATTCATATAATCATCATAATAATTAGAAAAACATGACATTAAGGTAAAAGCGACATAAATAAGTGTTGAGTCGTAAATTAAATTACGTATACATAGGTCAGAATAAATAAAACTTATGTGTATGCAAATTCCTTTTAAATAATAGTGACTATGCTGAAATTTCAGTTACAGTTTTCAATATGTATTTTATGGCTTTTAATTTTAAAAGTATATCATTTCTTTTGCTGTAAGGATTGTGATTGCTAGCCGATTCGATTAAAAACTCATTAGAAAAAACTTAAGGGTCATTGTTATATTCCTAGACTGGCTAAGATCATTTGTTATAACTGTATCTGTTTTGTAGCAGTTAAAACAGTCGGATAGTACCGAAAACATAAAAAATTTAAGGTATGCTGATATCATAGGGCATCGAAGTTTAATTTAAGTATATGCGATGTCTCTGTCCTAGTGACTTGCCTTAATGTCCTATGTTCCCGAGATGTGGCAGAGGGCGTTCATAGTAAGTCTCAATTGTGTTCGGTCTTGAGTTTCAAACTTGATCTCACTCCACGTCCACTCTGCCGAATATTCATATTTATAAAAGCTAGTCTAATTTATTGAGTAAAGTCTGCATTCAGGTAGTAGCTTAATCTGACTCCTCTGAGTTTTTGAGATATAAAACTATAAAAGATTTCGTAACCACCGAACTAAGGTTCGTAACTTGACAGCGCGGTTTATTGTAAAGTCGAAATTTTCTCTTCAGCAACCAAAATAATACGGAGCGATTAAAATCACAGTGGGAAGTATTCCTGAGGCTGCCATCCACATCGATCGGTACAACCCCTTATAATTTGACTGTTAACTCAAACCTATTAGACCAGTCATTTCAGGTGTCAGTCCTATTTCTATTTTTGTTTCTTTCTTTTTCCTACAAGTAATTTTCCACCAATTAGTGTAAAACATTCTATTCTACTTAATCATCATCTAAATGATTTTCATTTCATTTTAATTTGATTGTAAACAAATTAAAAAGTATAGAGGCGATTCACCATCTAAGTTCTAATCTAGATCAGACTTGTGGTCCAGTAGCTTTTGAAGAGCTCCAATATTTATATTTAGCTCCACCATCAGATTAGCTCCAACATGCCATTTTTGCCAACGGATTTTAATGCGCTTTTCACCAATAGACGCAAATTTATATGTATAATACATTCATTTTGTAGTAGAGGTAATTCAAGAATTAAAAGATTTGTTATGTGAAGTCGTAAAAAACAAACGCAAACGCTAACTAAACCTTACGAGATAAATCAAAATGCAGTATTACGAAATTGTATATCTTAAAAATACCTACAAAAAACTCCGAGATGGTATATTTCTATCTCCTAAAGATAACCCACGGTAACGATTTTATCTCTTTTATTATTACAAAAAGAACGAAGCTATTTGAACAAAACAATATTATCCAAATAAATATAGTTTATAAAATGCACAATGTATACGTTGAGCATTTAATGTAGATCAAAATTGCCTTTTATAGCATACTCGTATCATTTATGTGAATATCTTAGTAGATGTCAAAGATTTAAAATGCAGTAAAAAGCGGCCGTCCGTCGCCGCGTCGGGCCGTACGTCCGTCCCGGATAGTAGCGGCCGGCAGGAGCGGGCGTATAAATATTGCATATAAATATGTTCTTTTAGTCTCATCATAATAATAGTATAATTTATTACTAAATTTATTTAAGTGTATTTATATACTATATATATATTGTCCGTGTAGTGACGGATTAAGAATACGGAATGTCACTACCCCAATTCATCCCGCGGGTGTCGTAAGAGCCGACTAAGGGCGCAGGACACCAACAACGCAGGACACCAGCACTGCAAAAAGAAGGAAAACTTGACACAAATCCTATACCAACCCGCCTGGCCAGCGTGGTATAGTAGGCCAAAACCTTCTTTCTAAGGAGAGGCCTATGCCCAGCAGTGGACTATTAAAGGCTGTTGATGTGATGTGATATATATATATATTTATGTATAGTTTGGTGTTTTGAAATTTGTTAATTTCTTTACAGATCCGAGGACAAGACATCTTCCTTTAATGTCAAATCCACTGCCTTTACTTATTTTAGTCGCTGTTTACCTTAAGTTCTGTACATCAATTGGACCCCGCTTTATGAAAAATAGACCAGCTTTTGAGTTAAAAACCGTTATTATGATATATAACATATTCCAAGTATTATTAAGTGCATTTTTGTTAAAAAAGGTAAGTTTCAGAAATGAAATAATTTAAGAAAAACTATTATTATAATGATAGTTTAGTACTACTGTGTGCCGAAAGTACCCAGAAATTGTAAATAAAACACAAGGGGTATTTGAAATTATCCAAATTTATTTTGTCCCCTTCAACCAGTCCTCAAAACTCTTTCGACGACTTTTTGACGAATTGGGATGGCTTTCAGTGCCTTTGTCGTATTTTCTTTCACCGCCTCTATGGGCTCGAAACGCTTGCCGCGAAGCGGCAATTTAAGTTTCGGAAAGAGAAAATAGTCACATAGTGCTATATCTGGTGAGTAGAGTGCTAGTGGAGCGATGTTCGTTGAATGTTTGGCCAAAAAGCTAAGAATAATATAATTATGGCTGTGTGAGCTGGCGAGTTATCGTGGTGCAAAATCCATGTATTTTCCACCCACAAATCTGGCCGTTTACGACTTCGAGATAATACTCCTTGTTGACGTTCGTGCTTGTTGGAAAGAACTCATGATGAACCACTCTCCGAAAATCAAAGAAAACAGTAAATAGTGCCATTGGTTTGACGCAGTCTTTTTGGTTACGACTCATCGAAACGACCCATTCGGATGCTTGTTGCTCTCTTTCCATGTCGTACTCATAAACCTATGTCTCATAACTGGTTATGATGCGTTTCATAAACGTGGAATCGTTTCGTGCTTTAGAAAGCATCTCATTAGCAACGTCCATTCCGCGCAGTTTTTGTATGACCTGCTTTGGAAGTTTACTCCAATTCTGATCGGTGCTGTGTTAAAATTCCTGATCGAAACGCTATCTTCCTTCGAAGACAAGGCATAGATACTTTATTTAGGCCTGAACCACTTTATTTAGTGTTGGACCACGATGGGGGTCATGAAATAAAAGCGTCTCCGTTTTGTCCAAGGCCACATGTATGCTCAACGAATCGATGCGACAGACCATCAGAGATACTCCCATAGGGTCATGCGTGCTAACTATTAGGCTGTAACCAACGTGTAATGTGTGTACCAGATTAGTAGAGGAAGCTACCTCGAAGGACCCGTGCAGAGGTCCGTCAACTTCTGGAACCATCAGCAGACCTCCTTCGTTGAAAGCCAACGACTTCAGATAGATAGGGGTTTGCCCGCATCGAATATTTGCATCACGAAATGTAAACCTTAAATAAAAATTGAGTGTCGGGTCTTCACTAGCCACTGAGGGACGTTTGCTATATATTTTTTTATGTAATAGTAGGTAATATAATTTAAGGTTCGTGTAAATTTTCTTCGTATTTTATAAACAAATTCAAGACTTTTTTTAAAGTTTAATCATTGTAATTATAATAATGAGTGTGCCATTTTATTCATATACTTGTGGCCATCTTGTAGGCAATGATATAATCCCGTTACTGAAGAAATCATGAGATTTTTGATCAAAAAACTAATCAGTTTAGACCAAATAATTCTAAAGAAACCAAAACAGGTAAAAACCTGAGGGTGCAAGTTCAGGGCGATACATATATATAAAAATACTTCTATACCAAGCTCTCTCAAGATTAGCTAAGTGCTTAAATATGTGTGCGGTCTGGCGTCATCATGATGAAAGAGCGCTTCCTCTCAGTAGATCAATATCGGCCGTTTTCTTATTTCTTCCTTGAGTCTCATAAGTTGTTGGAAGTAGAGATCGAAATCGATGAATGTGACCTGCGCGGCGGTAAACCCCGTAACGAACGATGATTTTCCGATCCCACCATACACACATCGTCCGCTTCACTGCGTGTTAATCTGGGTTTCGCTATTGTCTGTGGTACTTGACTACTCTTTGATAATGAAGTTTTTTGCACGTCCTTCTCGTAGGTGCTCTGCATCTACTTTTTATCACCAGTGATCGATCAAAAATGGTTTAATTTTATTACGTTTCAATAGAGAATCACAAATGATTACACGAATTATTTTTGTGCATACATTTTTTCCATTCATTCATTTCATTTTTTGTGTATCCAAATTTCGAGCTTTTTTGTATTGCTAGACTTTTTGAAATTGGTCGTCGCAGCTACTAATTTTTAATGGTATCAACTTTATCAGTATGAGGTTTGATTTCAAAATTCCCGGACAAAGAATGCTTGAACTAACTTTGGTACTCGTTTAGTACTCTTTTAGACACTGCATTAGGTCCATAAACGTCACATTTTTTCAATTTTTCCTTTTTTGTAATAAAACTTCAGAATGTATTGAATTTTATCGTTTTTAAGCAATTGGAAAATGGCGGAGAACTCTTCATTACTTTTTTCTTAACGTCCTTTATTTTTATTCATATTAAAGCCAGCCAGACACAAACAGTCAAACCAAAGAGATTTTTCTTCAATTTTATAGTAGTAGCCAGTAAACTTAGATTATTTAAATAATCGAATGCATTAGTAATTGCTATAAGAAAAATAACCCAAGACTGACAGCGGAACAAAGTACAAAATGTAATTAAACCTTGCTTTGGAATTAATTAAATTGTTTATTTTTTAACATAATTGAACTTTTTTTTTCAGGGTCTTTACTATATGCTTTCAGAAGATTACAGCTTTGTATGTGATCCCATTACACACACAAATGATCCTCGAGTATATTTGGTGAGCTTTTCAATCTTCTATCTCACTTCTCTTACTAAAATAAGTAGTAGTAAGATGGTCTGTGTGGTGACAGATTAAGAATACGGAGTATCACCATCCCTATTCATCCGGTGGGTGTCATAAGAGCCTCAGGACAAAGAGCACTGCAAAAAGAAGCAAAACTTAAAACAAACCATGTACCAACCCCCCAGGCCCAGATACAGTAGGCCAAAACCTCCTTTCTAAGGAGAGGCCTGTGTTATGCAGTGGACTATTCGCAATATCAGCAGCTTTTGATTGATAAAAGACTATGCAGTTTATTATAGTCCATACTTATTTTAGCCGTCCTTGATTGATCACGTGATTTTCCGTCTTACTCCAGTTATTATGACCTTTGATGATTGGTTGGATTGTTAGAATGTTTGAGATCGCTGATTCATAAAACAGTTCATAAGGATGTTACTGTTTCATTACATAGGATAATATAATTGATATGTATTTTATTAAATACATACATCGTTTTATCCCATTACAAGAATAAAATTGATCTAACAATTTCATGGGTACAAACTAACAATATTTTATATATTTTAACTCCACAGACAGCAAGAAATTCATGGTGGTATTTCTTTGCGAAAAATACAGAGTTATTAGAAACAGTATTCTTCGTGTTAAGGAAGAAGAACAATCAGATTTCTACACTTCACTTATATCATCACACAATGGTCCTCTTGAGTGCGTGGCTTGCATGTAAATTCTTCCCAGGTAACATTGTTTTATATACAGGTTTAAGTATTTATTTCCATTAAGTCCCTAATCTTATTAATTTCGAGAACTCACTAGCAATATCTCGACACTTTGTAAACTAAGGCCTCCTCTATCAGTTTCCATTTGGAAACAACCGATATACAGGATTTTAAAAGATTTAGATTTTTATCTTTCATATAATTATTTTTAAACGTAAATAAAAAAAAGTTTGTTTAAAATAATATTATGAAGACTTCATAAAAAATTAAGAACACGTTAACAGAAAAGTGTCGAATGAAGACAGAAAAAATAACGCTTAGTGACATTTTAAATATTTCAGTTTTTTTTATTATAAAAATAACAATGAGCTTAAGTTTAATTTTAAGATCAATTCTGATCATTAGGTCTGCAATATAAATTTCTTATTTACGCAACAAACACACATATTTCAAAGAACAATGGCAAGTCGACAAAAAAAAAATGAAACCAAATGCAGCGTCTTGTAGTGAAAAATATGAGGCCAAGTGGGTGGAACTCCATCGTGAATACATACAATACAAATATACAAATAATATACTATTTGTATGGTTGATATTCCGAAGCTTTATTCGTACATCATAGTTTTCATTTCATATACTTTTATAAAACGAAAAGAACTCTGACTTTTACCAAAATAAATGAATTTTCAAAAATTCATAGAAAATTTTAATTTCATTGCTAAATAAGATAAATAAATTTGCTATTGTTGTTTCTGCCATTGTTCTTTGTAAATACAAGTTGATTTATTTAAATAAAAATGTCAGTTGGTAATAGTAAATGTTTTCAACTTTAGGGTTAATGGCATTATTCCCCAGCTACCATTTTGTTTTTAACCTTTAGCTAGCGTCTGTTGTTCAGATTATCCTTTTAGAGCAATCATGTATTTGTATAGTTACATAAAAACTAGGGAGAACCCACTGGCTTTCCCTGAGATAGGGTCTAGTTAGGTGCGGCGTCGATCTGGGGTGACCTGAAATCACATGGCCCGGGTTCTCCCCAGAGCAGGGCGCCTAGGGCTGGCCGTCAGAGTGGTTTTTAGTGGAAACACCGCATACTCCTAGCTCCTATATCCCCATGGAGTCAGAGATCAGAAGGGATTTTCCACTCCGTCAACAAAAAAAAAAGTTCATAAAAACTTCTACAAGTGCACTATTTTGTGGAAAAGTAAGTCCTTATTGTGAGAAGAAATAAACGTTATTTTTTAATTAAGTGATTGTTAGCTTTGAATAATTATTAATATAGATGAAATGCCCATTTGATTAAATTACCTTACTATTATTAACAGCGAGCAATATAAAAAGTTACCGTTTGGAAAAGTTATAGTCGTCATGACAGAAGATCTTTTATAATTTAATAGAGTAATTCCTAATAGAAATGATGGATGTGTGAAGTAGGAAGTGGCTAGTGGGATTTTTGTTGGTGGTTGAAATATGATGATGGCAATGAACTTTAGAGTAAAACAGTTAACAGGGAGCCACCCCAAGTCCTCATGGCGTTTGAGTTCATTGACCATGAGAGAGTCTAAACTGGTATGATCATGATTACTGAACGACTTAAAGAGAAAAACTTTAATTGGGAAATGAAGAGCTTCATTTTGAAGGGCTTATAACTTACAAGCTATGAGATAACTTACAAGACTTTTACTGGTTTACGGGCTGAAAACAATTTAAAAGTTACTTCTGTGACTAAGCAGTTTTGATACTTTGATAATATTACTCATTTAATGAAAATATTTGCTTAGGTCTTTTCTTTCTTTAAATATTATTAAGTTATAAAGCGTAATGTTGCTACTACTATCCCCATTGTTTGCTATTATAAATTATTATATGATAGTAAGTAGATTTGTATCTTTAAGAATATTGACTGTAGGTATAATATAAATGTAAATTTATACTTTAAATTTGAATGAGATCAAAGTTTTACAAATCGGTTCGTAAATGACAAGGTTCTGAAACTATGAACTCAAGGTTTGTTAATGTTAATCATAGTAACTATTCTTGTACGTCATTCGGTTGCCCAATAACACAAATTATTTGTACAATTTTGTCAGCTTTAATAACGTTAATTATTATTTAAAGTTTATATACTCTTAAATACATTATTACTATTTTGTTTCATTTGCTTTGTACAGTCGTTGAATGACCTCTAAGAAATGTCGTCGCGGTAATCACAAAAAACTTACTTCATAGTTTGGCTTTGACTACGTAATCATAACAAAGTTAAGTCGCTTTGATCTATACTAATAAGTTTGACATTTTAAAAAAGTGACCGTTTTTCTGGTTTTATAGTATCTCTGAATGATGAGCAAAATGTAGTGACAAAATTTTAAGTATAGAAGTTGACGCATATAAAAGTGGAGGACGACAAAAGAAAAGATGGATGGACTGCGTGAAAGACGATATGGCTACGAACTGACGAGTCTAAGAGGAGAATGGAAGAAGAAAAGTCAGTGAGCCGCACCCAAATGAATTTGGGAAAATGGGAAGAAGATGATGATAGTTTCTTGAAATTTAAAAGGTGAAAGTCAATCTTTTAAAACAAAAAAATACAAAAGTTCAAAAGTAACGTATAGTTAATAAGCGTGCCGCAGTAAAACTGACCTTTTTTCCTGTGCGAAAATCCTCTCGGATAACACCCACCGGTGGGGTGGCTATGTCGGACTCGAACCGATCATAAACCATACGCCGTCTCCGTGGCCGTGGGAACCTAGAAAGGAAATCTCTGGTACCCCGACGTTCCTCGGGCCATCTACGTCGTGTAGATGATCCTCACCTGTGTGAAATATCCACGTTCTCTTTGTGCTCCCTTTAAATACATATATATATATTTCTGCTAGGGTGACAAATGGCCTCACCTGTGACGTCACCTCAGATGGACTGCGCTTATAGGGGACGGAGGTCGTTTTGCGATCTCCGGCGCCCGTTTCGCCTGCAGTACCTGGCCCGTTCCCGGGCCTGGCGGGCCTTGAGAGTTCCGCTCGGCCATCTCCTTCGAAAGCATAACTTGCTTGTAGAAGAAGACGATGATGTTTGGAGATATGAAATACTTATACTTAATAAACACTGTCTTCTTTCGAATACGTGATACGCTAGTTAGTATTTTCAAGCACAAGCTAGTATTTGGGTTGAGCAGTTAAGTTATTATAGATAGTGTTACCAACCCGTCTGCCCAGCGTGGTGTAGACAAAACTTCCTTTCTAAGGAGAGGCCTATGTCCAGCAGTGGACTAGTAGAGGCTGTTGATGATGATTGATGAAGATGGTGAGATAGTGTTATCAAAATAATATGTTTTTATGTTGGTAGCATTTATGGGTAATCATATGTGTTAAATTATAAGTAATGACTGTTGTTTTGACAATAAAATTGTTGCCATTATTATGTCATTTTAGATTGATGTTTAGTTTACGTAATAATAAATACTGAATTTCGCAAATCAAGATATATTTTAGAAGCAAATAAAATATTTGTCATAGTTAACATAAGTATTTGTGTAGTTATTGACTTCATTTTGTATTTCGAGCAAAATCATTACTTTTTGGACTCAATAATGAAAATTTAGTGAACAATTATTTTGCTTTTTAAAACCGATAAAAGACGAAGTCAGTACTTAATATTTATAAAAGAAAAACCTCAACCAAAGTTATTTTGAGTAATAGAACAGAAAAAACTACGTTTCATGTTTTTGTGGTAGTCACAAATATATCGGAGACACTAGCTTCGTTTAATATTATTGAAAATCAATAAAATATCGTCAAATATAAAAAAAAACAAAAACTTTAAACTTTTTAAATGTTATCATCACATCGGTTGCTTTAATAAAACGAAAGAAACGAAAATAATGACAAATCTAGATGAAAAATGTAAATAATATTATTTTAAAAAGTAAGATAGCGTAAACAAGGACCTCAAAAGCTTTCTAAAATTCCAAAATCGATCTATTCACCAACCGCAACGCTGAACGTGGTCTCCGTCGAAGATCGAGTTGATGTAAAATAAACTTGCACTTGACTCCCTTGCCGTTGCCTTGACTCCCTTGCCGTTGCCTTGACTGCCTCGCCGTTGCCTTGAATCCCTTGACGTTGCCTAGTCTTACAGTTTACTTTTTTGTCTTGTAATGTAATAACATTATGTTACCGACCCATGCCCTCAGTGACAGAGTAGTGTCACCACGGACCTTTTGTCAGTGTTATTCGAATTACTCAAGGACATACGGTATAACTTACGTGCGAATATTAGGGTTGCGCGATAATAGACACACAGTACAGTAACATCGACGAAGATGGTTGCCTCACTGCTAGTAAACGGCTTCTTTGGGACCAAAATATGTGAGACATCCTCACACAAATAATCATGTATGAAACACCACATATCTTTAATCCTACTTTTCAAACTTTGTTTCAATATTAAATTATACTAAAAATACAATAGTAGATTAAAACCTCCTTTCTAAGAAGAAGGCTTTGTCCAACAGTGGACGATTAAAGACGATGATGAAAATAATGAAATTATACAAGAACTGTCCAGGACTGCCTTACTCCATTAAATTTAAGTTAAATATTCGCATACAGATCCTCTTTAACTGAAATCAATTATAGTGGACAAAGGCTCGAAATGAAAAACCTAATGTTCGACGAAATGAAACCGGGTAAAATAAGAACCGGGGATAAAAAGAAAGAACACTGTAAAAAAACTGTAACTGTAAAGAAATGCACAGTAGGAAATTCCGTTTAGTCCTTAAGATCAGTAAAAGTTAGCTGTTTTTTAGTTATTTATTTATTTACACATCATGCACATTTGATGCATTGGCGGACTTAATGCCAAAGGCATTCTCTACCAGTCAACCATTGGTTGATGCAGAGAAAACAGGAAATAGGTGCATTTTAGTTACAGTTGACTTAGACATTTAATATTGTACGTACACTTTGTATACTTTTGTTCTATTTCATGATGATTTGAAAATTTAACAACTTTGGTTAAAAAAAAATTGCCAAAAAGTAATCGTACTGGTACTGTATTTTATATATTTTTTATTAAGTTCTTTTTCTGTGTTTGCTTTCCAGTTGGGCCGCTTATTTTAGTTGGAACTCTGAACTCCTTCGTCCACGTACTTATGTACACTTACTACTTCCTCGCAGGACTTGGACCACAATATCAAAAGTACTTGTGGTGGAAAAAACATTTAACTTTGATTCAGCTTGTAAGTATACCTATAAAAGCACGAGAAGGATACTTTGATATATTAATGTCTATATATCAAGCGATATATGTAAAAATATGTTAATTTATTTAAAGAATCATTGCTTTGGTACCTGAATTTAATTTGATGTTGATGAGTTTTATGTTAAATGATCGTCTTTTCCTAAAGTTTATGTAATATATGAAATAGTCTGTTCAAACTCATATTCCCTCGTCATTTATTTTCATATTCTCGTAATCGTCAGTCTAGTCATTTAGCAGTCATCACGTTTAAGAAACACTAGCATGACTTGTAAAAATATCTGATAAGATTTACTTGCAGAAATAAATATCATTTCATTTCATTTCATTTTATGAAAAACAAAACTATGACATAATTGGCTAAACTTTTTTTTCAGATTCAATTTAGCATTATAATCGCTCACAACGTTAATGCTCTATTCCACGATTGCAACTACCCAAAACTTGTCCACGTTTTCTTGATATCAAACGCCCTGTTGCTAACATATATGTTTGGTAATTTCTACCATAATAGTTATGTAAAAGTTAAGTCGAAGAAAACAGAAGTCAACGGCAAAATCGGAATCAAAGAAGTTCCAAAAAATAGAAGAAAGAACACTACTGTGGGGCAATAAAAGCAATGCATAATTAAGCAATCTGGCTTTTATTTAAACCTTAATACAAAAAAAAATTGAATAAGGAGTTCAAGTCCAGCGGAAAGTTTTCATTAGACTATTTAACACGAACTGACGAATTTGATTTTAACACGAACTGAATAATTTTCGGACATAAAATAATGTACACAACAAATTGTATCATAAAATTACTTTACTTACGAGACCTGGCATGCGCTAGGCGTACTATCACTGAACTTTTAACACAATCCGACTGCCAGTTGGGGAATGAGGTGACGGCAAATAATGACGTAATTTTAAGTGTATTTATCTGATTGAATAGTTTCTAACGAGGAGAGTCATTTATCGTGCATACTTACTGATAAATATTATGCTCAATAGTGCTTTTACGGTTTAAATCATTATACTAAGTTAAGGTTTTAACTGCGAGTACTACTGCGACTTTGTGTAATGTTTATTATTTATGTACATATTATGTATGTAAATATATGACCCCACGGATGGCGTAGGGGTTTAAGCGGTCGCCACGCGCCGCTTACGCTACGCTACGCTGAGCGTTGTGGGTCCGATCCCCACATAGGACGACACTTTGTGTGATCCACAAATTTTTGTTTTGAGTCTGGGTGATCTTGGTGTCCGTTTCATGTATGTTTGTAAAGGCCCTTCGACACGGGATATATTATTAATGTTGTGAGTTTTCTTTAAAAAAAAGAGGAAAAGAATAACATATAATTACATATGTATATAATATGTATATATGTATGTTATATGTTTTGGTGCAAAATATAGTTACGTATTAAAATATCTATATAGTATATTTTTTCTGTTAGATATCAACTAGTCATTTATTCATTCCCTTCACTTATACACCTGCCGAACAGCTCTGCATCACCCAAAGTTGACTGCAAGAAAATGCCAAGTCCGCCTCATGCAATGTATTAGCAGGAAGTATTGAATAAATAAATACCACTGAACAGATTAAATAATTTAACGAACTATATAATTTTAAGTGCTACTACTTAGCCAGAATCTCAATATAAATTGTATGTATATGTGAGATCAAAAACATGCATTTCAATGAGTTAAGATAATTTTATAACGAGAACGAGTTAAAAAGAATATGTTAATCAATTTTGTCTCGTTTATTTCAAAACGCTTTAATATTATTTTGTCACTTGGCTAACTGTAAACAGTTTTCAAGGCCTAAAAGCATGCTAAAGAAACTTATGTATAAGAAACTAAATATACGTAAAAGTCACATTTGTAACTTAATATAATAGTCATGTTGCTGCAAAAACAGATGCAAAAACAGCCAGTAATTAGTGAATAATATTTAAAAGTTTATGAGTATTTAGTTTCTTTTATAATCCTAATATACTCGTATTACATAATAAGGTTTTGAAGCGTTATTCTAAAACTAACGAGCTTGTCAAACACATCGATGACGCCTGACAGGATGGACACAATGCCCTGGATCATCATTATCATCAACAGCCTTTAACAGTCCACAGTCCAGTCCAGTCCACAGTATCTTTTGCGATTTATCCAAGGCTTTTGATTGTGTTTGTTCGTGAAACTCTGATCAGCAAATTTTGTAACTACGATATAATTTCCTTAAAATATCAAAGACATTGGCCTGGATCTTTCTTATTCCTATTATTTAAGTAATGGCTTCAGAATATGGAATTTACTCTCAAACTTTATTCAGAATCTGTGGTAAAACAGGTTCTAGTCTAGGGCTATTTGTTCGAATCTTTCATTCGCTGCTGTTTTGTACTGGTAAAATACATCTTTATGGTGAAAATAATGTATGTTTGGTCAAAGAAAACAAGTTGTAAATAGTGGCAGCTGAAACATAACTCTTAGGCATAACTCTTGAGTCTTATTTTTTTATCCACATATTGATAAATTGCCTAGGAGAAGGAAAACTTGACACATACCCTATACTAATCCGTCTGGTCAGCATGGTATAAAACTTCCTTTCTAAGGAGAGGCAGTGAACCATTGATGGTTGTTGATGATGATGATTAATAAATTATGGAATAGGCACAAATCTGCAGGATATTATGTAGTTAGAAACATTCGGAAACTGATTGATATTGGATCAGCGAGAATAAACATTTTTACTTATCTATTTTAACATTAAATTGCTGAAGAGTTTATTTGCTTGAACGCGTTAATCGCAGAAACTTTTAATTAGAATTGAAAAAATAATTTAGTGTTGGATAGTTCATTTATCGAAAAAGAATATAGCTCATATTTTCATAGCCATATGATATCACGCTACAACCTATAGTAGGAGCTGAGTGTCAAAGAAAAATGTTGCAAATACTGAGAAAATTTATTCCTTTTGAGAGAGAGTTAGTATTAGAATAAAGATTTTCGTGATTAGTTTCAACATAATTAGAGAGGACCGATGGCGATATTCTAGTGTAAGTTTCGAAGATAACCTCTGGGGTGAAGTGATGCCTCGCTTGGGAGTGAGGAGCTATTAACGAAATGGTATTACGGTGACATATCAATGTATTAATAAAAACTTAATTTACCTTCATGTAAATAAAGATCAGCGCTAAGAGCAAACGAGCAGACGGGTCACCTGATGGTAAGCAACTAACGCCGCCTATGGACACCTGCAACTCAAAAGTCACAAGTGCGTTGCTGCCCTTGGAGTCCCTCCCCCCTTCATATAAGCTCGAGTTAGCAGGAGGGGGGATTTGGGCTCCGGTAACCTCACTCACTCAGTGAAAGGCGACGAAAGAATTGTTTAACACCGGTTTTTTGTGAGTCCGTCGTATCACTCCGGTCGAGCCGGCCCGTTCGTGCCGAAGCATGGCTCCCCCACGGTAATAGTATGTAAATACTAAGTAATAAGAATCTCCGATAGTATAAAAAAACTAGATATGATAAGTCAAAGTGCAGCTGACAGCAATGCTTTAAGGAATATTACTTGGTAATGGATTATATCAAGGATAAAAGTGCTGGTGATTTAATTGTTTTCGATTCATGGACTATTTTACAACGTGGTACTTATAATAATTAATCGTATAGAGTGTTCGTGAGATTTATACTCGATTTTACAAAAGTATGGCAAGCAAGCTGGACCATTTCATCTTTTTGACATGTATTATCCGGATCGGAGCGATCGAATACGGTATTGTTGGTTTCCACTTTAAATAATTTTACCTATTATGACAATGCAACTTATCAGTGGGGTGGTATTTATAGTATATCATAGAAGATCTACATAGGCATACATATACTTTTAACCTGGTAAAATTAAAGTACAAAATTGTTTTAACCCGAGCAAAGACGGGGGCAAAAGCTAGTAACACGTACATTATTAGATAAGTTTCTGTCAAATCACTGGTGATAAGCATTTTTAATGTGATGTTTTTGTTATCTGATGGAAAGTGACCATCGCCGCCCATTAACGTCTGCAACTCAGGAGTCATAAACGCGTTGCCGGCCTTTTAGGAAAGAGTACGCTCTTTTCTTGAAGGTTTGAAGGTAGTGAATACCGCATACCGTATCGGTCCGGAAATACCGCAGACGATAATCCTTTCCACAGATTGGTTGTACGAGGCAAAAAGTATCTCGAACAATTGTCTTTATGCTGGTAATTTTGAGTCGTTTTTAAACGATCGTGTCAACGTCGACTAGGTAACCCGGCGAACTTCGTACTACTTAACAGTCAATGAATGCCGTATTAGCTGTTAGCTAAATTTAATTTAGAATTTTATTAAGGTAATAAAATAAATACAAAGAAATTATGAAGCAGGTATATTGGTTTATTTGGACAATAACACATAAAGAAAACATAAATTTATAAACATTATTGTATGATAACGCTATAGTTCGATTTACTAAAACTGTTTCTTATCGATAGAGTGACAAGTGAAATGGTATTTAGACTAGTATTGACGCTGCTGTATTATATAGAGAGTATGTTTTTATTGATCACCCAGAAGATTGGTGGTGTGCCTGTTAGTAGAGAGATATCTGTAGCTCCCGTAAGCGGTATACTGTACTTTAAACGTTACAAAAATCGCTTCATTAACAGCCTTTAACAGTCTACTGCTGGACATAAGTCTCTCCCTAGAAAGGAGGTTAGGAGGTTAAGGAGGTTAAAATCGCTCAGTTGGTAAAATATGAAACAAAAATGTCATATTGTCAAACATTGTTCCTTGACATCGTCCGATTTATTTAATAAAACACGTACAACAAATACGTCATAATTTTTACGACTCAACAAAGTCACAAAAGCAAAAATTGGCATTCGTCTTGGTTGCGACTTAATTACGGTGTGCAAAGGTTTGTTTTGTATATTTACTAATTATTATTCTCTAAGCAAACATAATAAGATAATAAATATAGCAATATCCCATTCTACTTAATTTATTAAGTATTATTTGAATTATTATTAATATATTAATTATAAACCGGGCAGATACGTGACCTCGTCTTTTTCGAGCTACTGAAATCTTTACTACTACTGAAATCGTTTTAGAGCGTTTTCGCACTACGTCCAAACCGTATCTGAACCGAACCCGTAAAAATACGGATCCACAAATCTATGGCTGAATTCGGATATTGCTTTTGGCACTACCTCCGATTTCTGATCCGTGATTACGGATTCTGAAGGCTGACTGATTGACAGAATTCGTGTATCGTTTACGCACTATTGTGATCTCAGATTCTAATTCAAGCAATTCAGGAGTCACATTAAGCATACGTCATCTTATCATCTTACGCGGAGTCACAGCAGAGCGTTCTTATCGTTGATCATGAGTCCTATCGATCGGCGTCAACTTCTGGCAATTCAATTCTTTTTTTAAAGACAACTAACGCAGTAGGAATTTGTGACTCACACAATCCGAGTGTTATGGGTCTGATCCCCACATAGGATGTGTCATCCCATGTGGGGATCGGACCCTTAACACTCAGCGTAGTAGTAAGCGGCGTGGCGACCGCTTAAACCACTACCCACGTACCAACGATAC